CATTGAAAATAAAAGACGACATGCATGAGGGAAACGAATTACAGTTGTAAAAGGTGCCGCCATGAAAACCAACTGGTTACGTAGTGGCGCTGGATTTTAATTTCTTTGTTGTGAAAAATAATACACACAAAGGGGAAAACGACACGAGGGTAAAAATGACAAGGAAAACTTATCCTACCAGCTACAATGTCGGATGCCGTGCAGCGGCAACAACCCAAGCTATAAATCCGGACAGGAAAAAAAAAGCAGGCGATCCAGCAGAGCTCGCTAGATTTCATCTTCACTCGAGGCGGAGAGAAAATAAAAGTGATGGACGGCGACCTGTGGCGCTGCCAGGTGGCCTCGGTCACATGGGTTCATGACGTAAGGGGTAAAAGAATCTTGAGGTCATGGGGCTTCCCCTGACCTGGATTCTATCTCTCCGTCACTGGCAGAATCGCTGATTAATGCCTACAGTTCAAAATAGTCATTTTGACTGACCGGAGTCTATGGTGGGTAATTGAACGTAGTGAATATCACTCTAATTTTAAACACCATACTAATTTAGACATCACTCTAATTTAGACATCAATCTAATTTAGACATCACTCTAATTTAGACACCACACTAATTTAGACACCACACTAATTTAGACACCACTCTAAATTAGGCACCACACTAATTTAGACACCACACTAATTTAGACACCACTCTAATTTAGACACCACACTAATTTAGACACTACTCCAATTTAGACACTACTCCAATTTAGACACTACTCCAATTTAGACACCACTCTTATTTAGACACACCACTCTATTTAGACACCACTCTATTTAGACACCACTCTAATTTAGATACTACTCTGATTTAGACATCAATCTAATTTAAATATCACTCTAATTTTAAACACCATACTAATTTAGACATCACTCTAATTTAGACAGACACCACACTAATTTAGACATCACTCTGATTTAGACATCACTCTAATTTAGACACTACTCTAATTTAGACACCACTCTAATTTAGACACTACTCTAATTTAGACACTACTCTAATTTAGACACCACTCTAATTTAGGCACCAAACTAATTTAGACATCACTCTAATTTAGACACTACTCCAATTTAGACACTACTCCAATTTAGACACTACTCCAATTTAGACACTACTCCAATTTAGACACTACTCCAATTTAGACACTACTCCAATTTAGACACCACTCCAATTTAGACACACCACTCTATTTAGACACCACTCTAATTTAGATACCACTCTAATTTAGACACTACTCTAATTTAGACATCACTCTAATTTAGACATCACTCTAATTTAGACAAGACTTTAATTTAGACACCACTCTAATTTATACACCACACTACTTTAGACACTACTCGAATTTAGACACTACTCGAATTTAGACACTACTCGAATTTATACAGACAACTCTATTTAGACACACAACTCTATTTAGACACCACTCTAGTTTAGACACCACTCTAATTTAGACACTACTCGAATTTAAACACTACTCCAATTTAGACACCACACTAATTTAGACACCACACTAATTTAGACACCACTCTAAATTAGGCACCACACTAATTTAGACACCACACTAATTTAGACACCACTCTAATTTAGACACTACTCCAATTTAGACACTACTCCAATTTAGACACTACTCCAATTTAGACACCACTCTTATTTAGACACACCACTCTATTTAGACACCACTCTATTTAGACACCACTCTAATTTAGATACTACTCTGATTTAGACATCAATCTAATTTAAATATCACTCTAATTTTAAACACCATACTAATTTAGACATCACTCTAATTTAGACAGACACCACACTAATTTAGACATCACTCTGATTTAGACATCACTCTAATTTAGACACTACTCGAATTTAGACACTACTCGAATTTAGACACTACTCGAATTTATACAGACAACTCTATTTAGACACACAACTCTATTTAGACACCACTCTAGTTTAGACACCACTCTAATTTAGACACTACTCGAATTTAAACACTACTCCAATTTAGACACTACTCTAATTTAGACACTACTCTAATTTAGACACTACTCTAATTTAGACACTACTCTAATTTAGACACTACTCTAATTTAGACATTACTCTAATTTAGACACCACACAAATTTAGACACTACTCTAATTTAGACATCACTCTAATTTAGACACTACTCTAATTTAGACACCACACAAATTTAGACACTACTCTAATTTAGACACTACTCTAATTTAGACACCACACAAATTTAGACACTACTCGAATATAAGTTTCACTTTTATTACATGTAAACTACAGTGAAACCTAAATTGGAGTGATGTCTGAGTTTGGATGATGTCTAAATTAGAGTACTAGATAGATACTCTAATGAATACTAATTACAGTAACAGTGAATTGATCACCATTAATAGTTTGTTGTGTGCAGTTATCATGTGATATTGTTTTATACAATTTCATACCTAGGGAATAAAGCTTTATATGACAATTACAGATTATTGAAACATTGGGTTAATCAATAATTCAGGATAATTAATCCAATGTTTAATTAATCTGTAATTATCACAGTCTTAAGACTGAAATAAATGTATACTTACCGGTACTTATATGTAATTTCATATTTACAGTGACCACACAAAACAGTTATTACCTTAAACCCTGACCACACAAAACAGTTATTACCTTAAACCCTGACCACACAAAACAGTTATTACCTTAAACCCTGACCACACAAAACAGTTATTACCTTAAACCCTGACCACACAATCAGTTATTACCTTAAACCCTGACCACACAAACAGTTATTACCTTTAACAGTGACCACATAATAAGATAACTCACCGTTTTTTCCCAGTCTCTCTCTCAAACAGACTGTCCGTGTACTCAACTTGTTTATCACTGACATAATAAAAATCTATATTTGTGTAGTTTTTACTTAAAATACGATAAGACTCCATAACTTTAGAGTACACATCCTTTTTCAAAGTAGGCCACAACACTATTTTTTCTGGGCTGCTGTCCTCAAGTATGCTTCTCTTGATTAATCCCTTGGAGTTCAACGTAATAAAGGAAACCATCCTAAGCGTGGTCCGTGTGCCGACGTCCTGCTCATAACCCTTGACCGGGGAAGCATTCATTCTGACGACACAAGTTGCATTGTCTATTTCTCTTCCAGCACCTGTACCTAATATATGTCCGGAGGTAGAAACTAGAGCACACACATCACAGTGGAAGTCCATTTTCTGCAAAGAGGTTACCAAAAATAAGAAATAAGATAGAAGCCTACCCATAAACGAAAATACCCAGAATTTATTCATTTTGCAATAAATAAATAATGGGGTCGCCAGCTTAATTTTTCATAAAATGAGGCTTGTATTTCAGTGGATAGTTGCCATTTTGGCAGTATTGTTAATGCTTTTACCATAAGATTCTATGGCAGAGATATTATGCCACATTTTAAATTGTAGGCTGGTGACAGAATGAAAAAAATAATATATTTTTTGTTTTCTGAAATTATTTAAAAAACCTGGGTTTTAAAATGTGTAAAAAAATGCAATTTTCTTTAACATTATTCCATGGAAGTGTGAAAAGTGATTTTATGTCTTAGAACTAGTACAATATTGCATAGAAATTTGCTATTTATTTGAAATTTCTTAGAAAAGCAAAGCACTAAGCCAAGCCAGTACGATATTGTTGACAATTAAATAGATGTTGTAGAGTACCAGTAGATAGATATACCATGTATATTAATAACTAGAAGATAAACAAGTAGAGCACGAAAGGTTGCTAAGGTAAGCCTGTTCCGTGCAAGACCTACATACTTTTGTGTCCATTCATGGTCTAGACAATAAGGTGTGAATTGCTATGCAAGCCTACCACACAAAGTTGCAGGCATTGCCGTACCTAGCCCATGGAGCGCCATGGGTTAGATTTCCTACCTGACACCTTAAATGTACAGTTGGCACCAGTATCTTACCATGCTCTGAACTTTCAACCAATTTGAAGTACTGCTTTAGAAGGTATAGATGAAATCATATTTTTTTTCAATTTTTCACAACAGTGGCTATGATGTCATGCCTTACCCATAATCCTTTGCTGGAGAATCAAGATGGCGGGACTACAAAATACTGGTGAAAAGTTGAATATCTAGATAATGGAAAGTGATATAAAAAAATGTAAATTGCATTCTTCTGCTTTTGTGAAGCTCTTTCAATCTTGTAGCATTATATTGTTAGCCTAGATGTACACAAGAACCCATGTAGAATATAATAATAAATTGTATTAAGGTAGAGATGCAGGTTCGTGAGCACTTGGGAGTGAAATTTTTATTTTTGCTTTTTATTATCCAAACAGTCTTGGCTATAGACTGTTGAAATTTTGTAGAATTATAAATAGTGGTACATACTCAAGACGATTTTAAAATATAGATAACTAGTACAAACATTCTCTCTTTTGAATGTTTTAATAGCAAGATTTAGCAAGGCTGTACATAAATAATAAAAACATGGTGAAAAAAAGAAATGACGGGATCTCCATATTATGCACTATATTTAACTTTTTACAAAACGATAATACATTTAAATTTGGAACTGTTACAGCCATTTTAATTATAAGCATTAGCAAACTTCTTACTGAGTGAATGGTTATGCAAATTAGCAATTATCTCAACTTCTTTTTAGTGCACATCCCAGAACTTTAAAAAAAATAGCTCCTAGACATTTTGACCTTTTGTTTTGAAATTTTCACAAATGATTCACAATGTGTTTATCTTTAAAACGCCGTCGGGGCATTGTTTCTGGCTGAACAGTTTTACAACACTGAGCTGTTGCCCTGCAAAATTGACAACTGGTAGACAGTTTTCAAGACGACACTTTCTTCACAGTAAACAGATGTACCCGTAAACAAATTTTGACAGAAACAGAAGCATGGTTTAGTAGCTAATTTTTTTTAAATCACTTTTGACCAAAAAAGCACATTTATGTGCATATTTCAAACTACAGTGTCCATAAAAAAAATACCAACAAAATTACAAAATTCATACAATAAGCTTTCTGAAAATATATAGTTTTGTGGACAAGGGAGGTCATCTTGGTTTCCTAATTAACTAATTAGAATACCTGTCAGGTAAACTGCATCTCTACCTTAAAGTTCCCAAACAATACAACAATAAATCCAAACAACATTTGGTGAGGAGCTCAAATCATAAGTCCCTGTTTCAGGCTATTCCCAAAGGAGACTAATTAAAACAGTCTACAGTATTACCTAGTGAAATGGGCAACATTCTTTCCTTGAAACAGAAGCTATGGGTGACCTGTAAGGCCATCACTGATTGGCTCCCATGGTTGCATGAATGATGATTTTGGTTTCAAATACCCCAGGAATTTTTGGATTTGTTCACAAATAGTACTGCAAAATTCAGCAAGGTTCTTATCTTCCCATTGCAGATATAACTTTGGCTCCTGATCAGATTCGTTTCGTTTATAGCATGAATTTCAAATATCGTCATTTAATCACTAATAATATTTTAACGCTTATCACGCTTATTCCAGAAATTATATTTTTTTAACATTTTAAACAAATTATTCTGCTTCATTAACACATTAGCTTCAGTAGAATGGGATGTAAGACATGTGTATTCTCAGTATAAATACAGTCCTACTACACGTTTGACTCGTTGATTTATGACGTACCCAGACAGGTCACATACACTTATTTATGCATGTATGATTTAAACTGTATGATTTATAGTAACTGTGTAACAGTTAATCCCCATGCTGACAATCCACAGGACAGGAAACCTACTAGTTGTAATGTGTCTAAAATATAATGCCTCAAAATAATATGATGATAAAGACACATCATAAACAAAATAATTAAAATTTTGCAAAATAAAACATGATTGGATATATAATTTGTTAAGTTTCAATCGTAACATGTAGACATTTTTTTTTTATGTTTATTGTAAAACCCTAATTAATTTGTGGTTGTGAAAATAATTGTTTTTCCACAAGAGGGCGAATTAATAGTACATGTATACAGTACAAATGGCAATTATTTTCATTTTGTGTGCAAATTAAAATGATAAAATAATGACGGATTCAAAAAATATTGATTCAATTGTTTTGATAAAAACAGTATAAATTTTGCTTGATATTTAATCTAGCATTTGCAGGTTTAGTGAGAAGTTTAACCACTGAGTTGTGCTACATGTAATAATGCAATGGAGCTCCACAGACAGTATACAACTCTGCCATAAAATAACAATGTGACATTACACCAAAGATAGACATTGAAAAAACTAAGTACTGGTACTCTTGTTCAAAATACTGATGATTTTTTTTAGAATAAAAACAATTAGCACAAATTTTGAATTAGGACAGACTTTTTTTATTCCTTGTTTCTCGAGTTTTTATAAGGCAAATTTTTTGAGGAGGGCGGGAAAAAAAATAAAATTAATTTTTTTTTTCCCATTAGATTTGTATGATTCTCAAAGGATTGTAAGTGAGATCATTGATCGGAGAGAAAAAAAATGAAATAAAATTTTATTCCATGTATAATTTTGTTCCTCATCTGAGCGAGACTTTGGTACTTTGATCATGATACTCCCATGAAAATGCAACTGGGATTTGTTATGCGGCGGGCGGAAAAAAATGAACATAAAAATAATTTTTTAGTAATTTTTTGCACTTACAATTCGGCCGGCGCGAGAAATTACGCTGAAATAAAATTTTATTTTTATTTCATTTTCGGCTCCTGTTCATTCGGCGGGTCCGCGAAACAAGGGATAATAAAAGTCAGGCCTTAATATTTGATCTAGCATCGGCAAGTTTATGCCAAAGACAGACATTTAAAAAAACTAGGTACTTTTGTTCTCCAAAAAATATGATTCAAGTTCAGAATAATTTACATTATTGTTATTGTTATTCAAATTAGCTAATTTATATGCAAGAATTTTTACTGAAAACTATTAGGTCTGCAGATTATCTCAGTGCATCTATGTACCAATATGTCATTGATATTGAATGAACAGTTCTTGGCAACAGACATACGTGTACATGCATATGGAGGGCTTAAATGGTGGTGGTCATCGCGCAGTATGTGTTTGAATTTCATGTAAGCAAACAATGTATTTCACACACGTTGTGTATAACAGGACGCGATACAACCATCGCCCTTTAATAATTAGCTGGATTTTATTTTCGATTATTTCGCTGATAGCTAAACACGCTGAATTGCAACCTGTCCAATATGTAATATGTTAACAATATAATGTGATATTTTCTTCACAAGCTAGTGAATTTAAACCATGGCAGTAAATGTCTCTACGACATCAAACCTGCTAAAATCAAACCAAGTGAATAATTCTTCTTGTACAGAACTCATTTCTCTCAACAGTTCTACTACTATTGATGACTTATATCGCTCAATTTCAATGTACTGTGCTGAAGGTTTGATGATCAAAATCATTGCTTCAATGGTGAAGTTTGAGGATACAGCGAGCATTAGCTATGTTCTGGTGTACGTATTTCTGGAAAATTACATGGAGCTGAATTCTGAATGCAGACTGCTTCAAATCATTTGATATAATACCCATAATTGTTTGCAAACAATACTTGAACTTTGAACTTCTGTTAATCATTTATATACAATGTACACATTTTATTATATGGATAGACAAAATGTACACGAAGTAAGCAAAACAAGAAGTTTCACTAATAATAGACAAGTAAATCGGTGTTGAGTGTTGTGGGCGAGCCTTACATACCGAACAGTCTGTGCATGCAAGTTCCCGTGCTAATGTACTGAAGTCATGGGGACAGCCAAGCAGTGATGACACAGTATTCTGTGTCGACTACATACATTATAGTCACCAGACCATGATTCCAATGGAATCCGGGACTGTTACTTTTAATGATAATTATTGAGAAAGTTATGTATAAAAGCAATACTGACTTCTTTGAACAAAGAGCAGATAAATGAGGAGAAAATGTTATGATGTACAAAAATGCTTGAATTGAAAATGCTGAACAAGACACGAGTCACAAAACTACTGGTATATTTGGCTAAATATTACCCATGGTTCCCTGTGATAGGACACCACCTACTTTTTAGACCATTTTAGCACTGTAGTTGTACAAATAATATGGACAAATTAATGGAATAAAGATTACTAAGAATTGATATTAACGTATTTCTCTAGCATTTTTATTTTAAAAAATGGATAGTTGAAATCAATACATGC